ATTACAGACACCTATTACAGGCTGTTATTCACAGAATCCTTATAAAATATGAATCTTTAATGGCTTATCACGAACAGTTTTGGGCCCTGTATCTGAAGAACGATGTGCTGGCCTTGGAGGGGGCCCAGAGGATGTTTACAGGAATGATCCCGGAGACGAAGGGCTTATCATACAAGGCAGAGTTGAGGACTCTGGGTGTGCACTCGATGGAGTTTTGAAGGATATGGGGGAGGAGGCGGGGCTCTGACTTAAACTTACAGAATACTGACAGGCCTGGATAGAATGGGCATGGAGATGTTTCTACCAGCAGGAGAGACTAGAACCCAATGGCACAGCCTCAGAGTGAAAGGACAACCTTTTAGAACTGAGATGAGGAGCAATTTCTCCAGCTAGAGAGTGGTGACTCTGGGGAACTCATCGCTACAGAGGGCTGTGGAGATAAAGTCATTGAGTGCGTAAGGAGATCCAGGGTTATGGGGAGAAGGCGGGAGAATGAACTGGGAAGCATATTAGCCGTGATCAAATGGTGGAGCAGACTCGATGGGCCAAATGGCCTAATTCAGCTCCTATATCATGACTGTCCAATCTTTCAAGAATTGGACCAAGGTCAGGCGACAGCTGAGCAGCTTAAGTCTGAAAATGCTTAAATCAAAAAGGATGGTATGCTGTATCAGGTTTCCACTCTAAGTGATGTATATCCTCCACTGCTGTGGGACTGCAGTCCATCTTGGTTCTAGAATGACCCACATGTGAGGTGATGCTGTGGTGTTACAGACAGACCCTGAGTGGAAAGCTACCTCTATCCCCAGAAGCTGCTAAGTCACTTTGACTTGTTTTAGAACCAACTTAGAAATACCTAACTGCCTAACCTAAACTAACCCAGCTACAGTGCCTTGATGAGTGCAATGGATGAACAACGCCACATTTCTATAGCTCCTTTATGTAGAAAAGCAGGCTCAGGTGCTCCACTGAGTCACAAGAACAAATGAATGAGAGATGAAGAAAGTGTGTGAGGATGACCAAAACTTCTCTCCAAGTGGCTGTATGGAGGATGATACAGTTGGCAGAACGCTGGATGGGGTTAGGGAGGGGATTCTGGGCATAATGCCCACACCGACTGATCCTAGTCTGGGTGGAGATATTTAACCCTAAGTTTGTGAAGAGGTGGATCTGAGTCCTTCATGCAGATAAGGAGGAGGGGGCCGAGGCTGTATCTTTGAGGGGTTTTCAAGGAGATGCCGTAGCGTCATACAGCACAGAAACAGACCCTTCAGTCCAACTCATCCATGCTGACCAGGTTTCCTAAACTGAACTAGTCCCATTTGCCAGCATTTGGCCCATGCCCCTTCAAACCTTTCCTGACCACGTACCTGTCCAAATGTCTTAAATGTTGTAATCATACCAGCCTCCACCACTTCCTCTGGCAGCTCGTTCCATACACACACCACCCTCGGTGTAAAAAAGTTGCCCCTCAGGTCCATTTTAAATCTTTTCCCTCTCACCTTAAACCTATGCCCCTCCAGTTTTGGACTCCCTTACCCTGCGGGAGCTAATCAGTTTATCTATGCCCCTCATGACTTTACAAACCTCGTGGGAAACACTCTGGCATACAGAAAATATTGCAGATCTAGGAGGGCAGTCTCAAGCTCAGGACCATAAAGCAGCAAGGAAGGCCGAGTTGAGAAACTCCCTGTCACAAAATGACGTGAGCAGACAGCTCCAGTTAGTCAAGCGGCAGAGCGGATATGGTACAAGTTGTAGCCTGACTGGGAAAGGTGCGAGAAGCAGTTGGAACAATCCCAACAGAAAGTGCACACACACGTGCAGCATGTAATTAAGAATGCAAATATTATTCTGGCCTTCACCGTGCGAGGGATGAGGCTCAAAAACAGGGAATTCTTGTTACAACTCTACACTGTGTTGGTGAGGCTGTACCTGGAATATTAGGTACAGTTTTGGTCCCTGTATTTCAGAAAGGATATAATGGCACGGGAGGCAATTCAAAAAGAGATTCATTACCCTGATTCCCAAGGTGAAGGTGTTGACTTATTGAAAACAGCTGAACAGGTTTTCTGAAGAAGGGTACCGACCCGAAACGCCAACTTTCCTGCTCCTCTGATGCTGCCTGGCCTGCTTCGTTCATCCAGCTCTACACCTTGTTATCTCTGACACCAGCAATCGGCAGTTCTTGCTATCTCCAGGTTAGGCCTTTATACATTAGAGTTTAGAAGAAGAATGAGAGGAATCTTATTGAAACAGACCAAGATCCAGAGGGGGCTTGACAGGGTAGACGTTGAGAAGGTGTTTCCAATGGTGTGGCAATCTCTAACTAAAGGACACAGACACAGCATAAGGAAGCGCAAATTTGCAACTGAGAGGCAAAGTGATTTCTCACCCACCCCCTCCCAAACCCAAGGATGACGAATGTCTGAAATTCTTTTCCCCCAGACAGGAGTGGAGGCTAGATCACTGAAAATATTTAAAGACATGGACAATAGATTTTAGAAATACCAGGGGGTTGTTGGCTATGATGAGCCGGCACAATATAGCAGTTGAGGCCTGGGGCAGGTCAACCGTGAACGTGTTGAATGGTAGGACAGATTTGAGGGGCCAAATAGCCTACTCCTGTTTCTTATGTTCTTCTAACTATCCTTCCTAGATCCTGATTGTATCGGATCACTGTCAGAATGCCAACTGTGTGAATTCAGCCCATAAACAAATATTCAGCCAACCAGTCTGTACCTGTGTCTGTGCATCACACAAGCCACGTCCCTTCCATTTTAATCCAATTCCTCTAACAAAACCTGCTATCCCCTACCCTCTCACACATCTTTGCAATAAACCCATCACTGCTGTTCACTTCGACCAACTCACTTGTAATACAGTTACACATTCTCATCGTCCTCTGGTTAAAAGTCACCCAATTTTCTCACTGGATTTATTCGTGACTATCTTATACTTAGTGCCTCAAGTTTGGTCTTCCACAACAAGTGGAAACATCTTCCCAACAGCCACCCAATCATACCTGGTCATAAGTCTTTCAGGACCTCTTTCAGATCACCAAACACCTCACTAACTTAACCATCTAACTATCATGAACTCCGCCAGCTGAAGCTAATCGGAGGGTGATTTCCCAAAAAAACTCAGAAAATCTCATGGGTGACCCGGTGGCTCAGTGGTTAGCACTGTTATCTCCTAGCGCCAGGAACCTCGGTTTGATTCCACCCTCGGGCAACTGTCTGTGTGGAGTTTGCACGTTCTCCCCGTGTCTGTGTGGGTTTCCTCCGGGTGCTCCAGTTTCCTCCCCCAATCACAAAGATGTGCAGGTTAGTGGATTGGCCATGCTAAATTGCCCGTAGTGTTCAGGGATGTGCAGGTCAAGTGGGTTAGTCATGGGAAATGCAGGGTTTCAGAGATAGGGTAATGGAGTGGGTCTGGGTAGGATGCTCTTCAGAGTAAGGATAGGGTGGGGGCTGGGTGGGTTGTTCTTCGGAGGGACTTGATGGGCCAAATGGCTTGATCCCACACTTTAGGGATTCTATGATCTACCCTTCAGGCTATGTTCACTCTCAAAGGTTTCAGTGCTGCATCAGTAATAATCGTTAATAGGAACCGTTTCCCAACAATCTGGATAAAACAAGACTGCAATGATCAAAATGCTGAAAAAGCCCAGAACATTTCCCAACACAAAGGTGGACATCAAATGCTGTCAACCAAGCAATTAGACATAATCAGGAATATGTGGGTCATCCAAAGAGAGAAAGGGCTGAGTCACTTTGTAGGACACTACCTCACAAACTACTTACTGTTGGAAGTTAGCCATTCTGACTAGGGATTGGACAACACAAACTAATTGGCCGTTCCGTCTCTGGGTTGGATTGTCCAGTTAGTCAGTGGTTTGTGGTGCCCCAGAGAAAGAGGGGCAGTTTCTCAGTGAAACATGAACACCCCAGCTGCTCAATAATAACACTGGGAGAAGTCAGCACCTTGGCCAACATTTTGGACAGTACCGCTCTATTTGTATTATTGCTGTCAACAGGGCACCAGTGAACCACATGTTCACACCGAGACACTGCACTACAGACAACCTTGCTGTGCTGGAGCAATGAATGTACAGACTGCGAATGTTGCTGGATCCTCAATCCTTACTCTTCTTCCCATCGGAATCCGCGTGAACCTTGCGCACCAGGAAGCCGTGCTTGTACGTGGCCGCTTTGGGATCTTGCACAATATCCAGGAATGGGTTACTCCCTCCGCTGATCCTATTCATCGCCTTCAGGCTGGGATCTGTCCTCTCGTCTGCCAGCTCAGACAGGGATTTCCGCAACTCCTCCTCATTACTGTCAGAAAGTAAGAAACAAAAAAGAAGTACATATTCAGAATGAGCTCACACCTTTCGATAAATGTATCAAGGCACAAATGACAACTTCTGTGGCTAGATCAGTTGGAATTGTATTTTTGCTGACTTTGCTACTGTATTTTAACTCTGCGACAATCTCTGGCCATGGACTGGATTGCTTAGTTACGCAAAGCATGAAGACCTTATTATCTTTGATTTGAAGATAATAAGCGTCCCCTTAACCTAACTCATCTTTACAAGGTTCTTGGAATGGCGACAGTCATCAAATGGTGCTGTCAAATTTATATGAAAATCCTTTTCTAATTACCTCTAACAAATTAACATCATGGCTCTAATAGCCGAGAAATGGATTCCAAACAACAAACAAAAGAAATTATATTTGCATGATGCTTTTAATCATCATTGAACTCTCAAAATGCTTTACAGTGAATTAAGTATCTTTTTGAAGTGCAGGCACTGGGATAATGTAGGAAATGTGGCAATCAATTTGCACACAGCAAGCTCATACAAGCAGCAATATGGTAATTTGATGGCGATACAGGGAATAATTACCAGGCAGGACTCTGGGGGGCAATTCCCCTGCTCCTCATCAAATCAGAGCCACCCAGGCAGCCAATGGGATCTTAGTCTGAAGCCTGATTAAACTGACGCAGACCCTCAGATCTGTCCTGGGGAGTCAAGCCTTTACTTTTACGCTCTAGCCCCGGAGAGGGACTTGAAGCTGCATTCTTGCTCATTTTGAAAGGCCCATTATGCTGCTCCAGCTTCCCACACTTTCCGATGTACATTCGCGAGTCACAGGTGAACGGTGATTTGATTTATTACTGTCACGTGTACCGAGGTACAGTGAAAAGTGTTGTCTTACATGCTTTACAGGCAAATCCTGCTATATAAGTTCATCAGGGTAACAGAACAGAGGGCAGAATGCAGTGTTACAGCTGCTGAGAAGGTACAGAGACAGATCAACATTAACATTAAGGAGATCCATTCAAAAGTCTGATAACAACAGGGAAAAGGCTGTTCTTGAATCTGTTTGTACGTGTATACAAACTTTTATACCTTCTGCCAGATAGAAGCGGGTGGAAGAGAGTGTAATAGGGGTAGGCTGTTGGCTGCTTTCCAATGCAGTAGGAAGTATAGATGGAGTCAGTGGATGGTAGGTTGATTTGCATGAAGGACTGAGCTGTTGTTCACAATGCTCTGCAGTTTCTTTCGATCTCAGGAAGAGCAGTTGCCGTACCGCACGTGATGTATCCAAACAGAATGCTTTGTATGGTGCATGTACAAAAATTGGTAAAGAGTCTTTATGGACGTGCTGAATTTCCTTAGCTTCCTGAGGAAGTAGAGGCATTGCTGCGCTTTCTTGACCATAGTGGCACCATGGGTGGGCCAGGACAGATTGCTGTCACTCCCAGGAACTTGACGCTCTCGACTATTTATTTCTCTATTTGCCACACAATGGCGTGGTACAGGGCACCAACCTTGCTGCACCCTGTGCTTCACCAGAAACACAAGATCTACAATATGGCCCCTTAAAGTGTTTCATATACATTCACAAGGTGGGGCCATCACTGGAAGCCTAGCACTTAAATCTCATCCATAATTGCCCTTGGGAAGGTGGCTCTGAATCACCTTCCTGAATAGGAGTGACTTGCTTCGTCATTTCACAGGGCTGTTACGAATGGACCACATTGCTGAGAGTCTGGAGTCCCATACTGTCCAGACCAGTTAAGGACATTAATGAATCAAAGGGTTTTTACAACCATCTAGAAATGTTGTGGTCACCATAATGGAACTTAATTTATTTTAATCCCTTTTTTATATAATTAATTGAATTTAAATTCCACAGCTGATCTTGTGGGATTTGAACTCCTGGCCCTGGTTTTTTAGTGCAGATCTCTAGATGGCCAGGCCAGTAACACGAATCCACATTACCACAGTCCTAAATGCTTCATATAGACTGACACCCGACTGTGTCATTTTAAGGCCTACACATATTGGGATAGGGAGTAAAATAGCGATCAAATAGTTTTTGCAAAGCTGTGGCAGTGTCCTTCCATGGATGATCTTCAATGGAGATAGGGATCAATATCCTCTCCAGTGTAAATCACTCTCTAAAGGAAACCAGAGATCTCCCTCAAAACTCTCATCTCAATTGTTGGATGTGATGTCTTTGATTATTTTTGTCTTTTTTACCTGTCTCTCTCATGCTCTCCTTTTCACCTGCTGAATGTGTTGTGATGCCACCCACACCACCTTGTGATCAGGGACTTTGCTGCCACCGTCCTCCTTTATTACAGGCCTGCTGCATTTCACCAGCAATTTCTGTTTTTGCTTCAGATCCTCCTTCATTGACTGGATCTAAGGGCCTATTTGGGTTTAAACCCAAGTGATAGTGAAATGTTATTTTATGCAACACCTTTTCTCACTTTGCCATTTTTGGATGTCAATTAATGGGCTTATAAGAACACATGAGGAATAGGAGCAGGAGTAGGCCATCTGGTCCGTAGAGCCCGCTCCGTCATTCAATGAGATCGTGGCTGATCTTTTCATGAACTGATTAATTATTTTGACTCCAAGCAAGACCTGTACGAGTCAAGACAAATTTCACAATGAAGACTAGGACTCAGGCGTGCCCTCGTTACATGCCACCAGGCCAAGCCGTCACATTGCTCACTTACTTTTTACGTAGACTTTCTCTTTTTCTCCCCCCAAGTCAGACTTTGACTTGTGAAGAACTCACAGCTTCATAGCAGATAACCACAGATAAGTGACGAGAATTCTCACAGGGACTGAATGAAAAATCAATGCAATTAACAGTGTGCTGCTAAAATAGGAAAGACTAATTGAAAAGTTATGCTTTCTGAACGTTTGAAACTACACATTTCTATTTCAGCAAGCTAAAGCTTTTATCCAGAGTTCCAACTGTTCCTACTTCATGGCTGATTAACTTCCCAATTAACTATTGCATAAAACTGAAAACTTCCTGACATTTGGGTTTTGATCGTTTTTCCCCCTCTAATTAACACAAGTTCACACAGAACAGGAAGTAAGCCAAATGACCCATCTTAGGAAGAATACATTGTTCAAAAATGTGGAGCTAAGGATGTTGTGTGTAATCTCCGGCATAGCATTACAGCATCATACAATTATAGATTTCAATTAAATGTTATTTTGTTGAACAAGATAGCCCAGAATTAACATTGATTGTAGCTCCCCAACTCTTTCCTTACACAAAGGGAACATCACATAAAAATGTATAATGCCATACCTGACTTCAAACATTCTCAGCAAGGATCTGTTCAGGTTGCAAGGTGAATGGGTAATAAAGGCCATAAGTCATAGAAATAGAGTAGGCCATTCAACCCATTGGCTCTGCTCTGCCATTCAACGACATCTTAGCTGATCTGATAATCCTCAAATCCACTTTCCTGCCCTATCCCCTTAACCCTCAATTCCCTTCTCAATTAGGAATCTATCAGCCTCCAGTATACTTAACGATCCAACAGACCACTGCAGTAAACAATTCCACAGATTTACTGTGAGCTCCAAGAGAAGAAATTCCTCTTCATCCCTGTTCTAAATGGACAACCTCTTCATCGTGAGATGTCATCCTCTGGTACAAGACTCTCCCACAAGGTGAGACAACCTCTCAGCATCTACCCTGTCAAGCCCCTTACAGTCTTGTATATTTCAATAAGGTCTTCTAAACTCCATCAAGTACAAGCCCAACCTTCTCAACCTCTCCTTCCCACAATCAGGGTTAATCACTGATGGAAAAATGCCAAGACGTTCATTTTAGAAGAGAGATCAAAAGAACAGAGTAGCATTTAAATGGAGAAAAACTGCAGAAAGCTGCAACACAAAGGGACCTGGTGATACTTGTGCACTAAACATAAAAAATTAGCACACCAATGCAGCAGGTAATCAGGAACCGTAATAGAACGTTGGCCCTTATTTCAAGGGGGTTTGAGTGAAAGAGGAGGGCAGTCTTACTGTAACTGTACAAGATGCTGGTGAGACCATATCTGGAATACTGAGAGCAGCTTTGCTCCCTTTAATTAAGGAAACATATTATTTTATTGGAGGGAGTGCAGAGAAGATTTACTTAGATGATCCCCGGTATGGAAGGACTGCCTTATGAGCAAAGGCGAAACAGATTGGGATTCTTCTCATTGGAATTTACAAGAATGAGAAATAATTTTGTTGAAACATATGGGATTCTTAAGGGGCTTGACAGCATAAATGCTGAGGGGATATTTCTCCTCTTGGGAGAGTATAGGACCAGAGGGCATGGTCTCAGAATAAAGGGATGCCAATCTAAGACTGAGATGAGGAGGAATTTCTTCTTTCAGAGAGTTGAGTGCCTTTGGAACTCCTTACCACAGAGAGCTGTGAGGGCAGAGTTCTTGTATATATTTAAGGCTGATATAAATTCCTCAACTGATCAAGAATCATCTAAGAGTTACAGGGAAAAGGGAGGCAAGTGGACATGGAGAATGTTGGATCTACCACGAGTGTATTGAATGGGGGAGCAGGCTCAAGGGGCCGAACGGCCTATTCGTGTTCCTATTTCTTATGGAACCTTTTACACTGTTGCATAGCATTCTTCCAACCCTTGACACCAATGACACTTTCTCTTACTGCAATAATGCTTCTTATTGTACTATATGGCGTTGTGTTCTGCAGCCATTTCACCTTTTAGTCTGTTTCTTTGAACATCTTTAGAGCTAATTCACTTCTGGTGCCGTGACTGTTTGTCACTATAGTCAAGTCGCTCTGTTTTAATCCTAAGCCCACTTGCAGCTCGACTGAACCCTCATTTCCTGAATTCAGTCATTGGAAAACCCTTTTCAGTTCTCATGTCACAAGACTAGAGACAAATCCTAATGTAACTGCGCTAATGATACTTAAACATCAGTGGCACTGTGATATCAAACTGATTTTACATCATTCTTTCACAGTGTTAAAAATATTCGG